TTTTTTTTCTTCTAATGTCCTGTTGCAAATAAAGCCTTTACTGCAGCAATTCTGTCTCTGTCTTTTCCCCCCATAAACCGTTCATTCTATAAAGCTACCCTGAGATGGGTCATTCAGTTTTTGTATTGAATTTCTGCAGCAAAATATGGATTTAATATAAAGTGGGGCCATTAATAGAAACGACAGCGCAGTTTAAAAAAAAAAAAAAACACACAGACATACAAACATATATTTGTACCATGCTTGCTGGTCTTATTCTCTCGTGAGGGGCATCGACTCACAGTGCAGATGTTCTCCGGATCTCTTCCACTCGCAGGTTCAATTCCCGGACAAAACGCGTGACGTGACAAAAGATAATATAGAAACCATTATAATCAGTGATAATATCTATAATGGATACTGGACAGTAAACTGATGCCCCGGTATATTTCTAGTACTTCAAGCGCTCGCACTGTTTCTGTGGCGTTGTAGACACTCTGTAAGACAAATCCTGACAATCCAAATATAAGAAATGAAGAAAATTAAAACCCTCAATGGAATGGCGCCAAAGAGGCAATTACAGCAAATACAGTAGTATACAGCAATAATAAAAACAAAAAATACTGTACGTCTCTGTATGTGGTGTTTGACGTCACAGAAAATCCCAATGATGCAAAGGGAATCACAGTTATTTGCTGTAAAGGGAATTTGCAGTATTATACTGGGTAATATACAGTAAATAAATGTAGAACTTACAGAAATGTCTTAACAGTGCAGTATTTTTCTTATAGGTTAATAACATTGATCATGATACTGCGATGCTGTTTCATCAATATTTTCTTATATGTGTATTAATACAGCGAGACCAAAACCTGTAGTGAAGGTGAGTCCAGATCAGCGTGTGTTCAGAGGAGAGACAGTCACTCTCACATGTGACATACAGAGAGGAGGAAACTTTCAGTGGACATACAGCTGGTTTAAAGATGGTTCAGTCATCAGACGCGTCACTGAGAGAGTCTACACCATCACATCGCTGTCTGATAATAGTGGTGAATACAGCTGTAGAGGAGAGAGATCAGACTCACAGAGATCAGACACCAGTGCTGCTGTTACACTGACTGTATCAGGTGAGTCTTCAGATTCACATCTGTTTAATGCTCATTTAAACAATATTTGTAGCTCAGTACAGTTTATATTTCTATATTGCAGTTTTGTCATCTGCCACTTTAAATGCTTTGAGCTCTTTAAAGTTCGATTCAGATTTGCTGTCAAAGTTTTTATTGTTAATCGTCACATGACATGCAGATAAACAAATTAAATATTTCATATTTTTATTGTGTTTTATTTTGATTGTTTTTATTTTTTAATTATTTATTTTATTTTTATGATTTCATGATCAGTGTTGAGCTAGGTACTCAAATAATGTAATGTATTACTCATTACTAGTTACTCCTTTCAAAAGTAATATTGTTACTTTACTTATTACTTTCTGGCAACAGTAATTAGTTACACTACTAGTTACATTACTTTTCCTTCACGTTCCACAGAAGTTGTAACTGTGTATCTTCCACATAAAATTCTTCTAGAATGTTACTAACAACATATTTCTGCCTCATCATTTGACCAAAATCCACACTGGATCGCAGTCAGAAGTTATTACAAACACTCAATAGTTATTGATAGTGAGTAGACAAGTAGAAGTGTTGTATTAATCTCATTAATTGTCATGTGTAGCTTGAAGCTAAATGTAATTTCTCTGTTACCCATATACGATTATATTTCCTTATGTATTTGATCAAATCACATAAGTTTGTAAGAAACTGTTTAATTTTCAAAAAAAAACAATTTATTATAGTAATATAATGTACCACATGCTGATCAGACGGGTGTGGGTGGGATGTAATGCCAAAGTAAAGTAAAGCCACAACTTACACAACAGTGTTTAGATCATCCTTTTTCCTGACAAGATCAATATAATGCAATATTTCTATCTGCCGAATGTAAGCTTTTCCATATTCCAAGCTTGCCTGCTGCACTGGGGACATCACATGCATGTGCGAGTTGTGAAAATTATGAAAATAAATCTAGGAGTTATTTGATTGTTGGATTTTAAATCAGCGGGGTCAATGCATCAAAAGTAACTAAATAACTAAGCTGTTTTATGGATGGTAACTGTAATATTATTACTAAAATCTTATTAGTAATGAGTTACACTACTAGTTACTTCAAAAAGTAATATTATTACAGTAACTAAGTTACTAGTAACTAGTTACTGCCTAACACTGTTCATTATTAGCTTTTCATCAGCTCACAACCCCCTGCAGTTCTCTCACAAACCTCAGTTTGGTTAACCCTGCTTTATAGGACTGATATTGTGCAGTTATTAGTGATTTTAAAACGTGTTTTAGAAAGCTGAATACAGTTACATTCACACACAGTTCAGTTATTAGTGCTTCTTAATCCTGGTTCTGGGGACCCCGATCTGCACATTTATGTCTCCTTTATCTGACTCACTCAGTTCAGCTCATCTAGCTCTCTGTTAATCAGGCAATCAGGTGTGTTAAATAAGAGAGACGTGCAGAACCACATCGAGACATCCCCAAAACCTGGATTAAGAACCACTGAATTAGAGTGACATCTGCATATTATAACTGAAGTGCCTCACATCCACATTGACAGTGAACCTGCTGCGCGAACAGAAACAACTAAATGACGTCTGTCATGTGTGGGTGATTGTAATGAGGGGCATGATGATAGAAAGGAAACAGGAACAGAACACTGAAAACTAAATTTAAACAGAACAATAACCCTTACAAAGTCATACATTGAGACTCAGTCACTCTGTTCTACAGACTCACATCTTGAGTGTGTTGCAATTTTTTTTGTGGAGGTTCTCATTTAATGTCATGTACATCGTGACATTAACGACTTTCCAGTGAACGTCTCCATCTTTAATACGTTCTGGGGGAACAACATGTTGTGTCATATTATATCGCAATGCAAAAATGTGACAGTATGTATCGTCTATAGTTCAACCAAAATAAAAGTTTAGACAGATTTAATTTAGCATGAAATATGGTAATGGCACAACAAATGTGGTGAATCCAGAAGGTCACACATTCAAGCTTCTTTGTTTATTAATTGTAATACATAATCAATACATTACTTCATAAATTTCAGTAATTAAAATTGTTTAAATGTATGTAGTGAGGGACCGAGTGAAATCATATGGGTCTAATATAATTCTGTATTTTGAGCTAAGCAGAATCATTCTGTTCTGGTGTCTCTATTGCTCTCTGCATGAGAGTCTTATTCAAGTCCATTCCTGATGTAACACCACATTTAGGTGTTTGTCTGAGCATGAGACTGTTAGAACGAATCTCCATGCTCGTAAATATTGGATTCAGTCACTTTATCAGATCCTGAGACAGAACTGTTTTAAACAACATCAATCTGTGACGTTAAAAACCTTGAAATATAGATGTTCTCTTTCTCACGGAGGCAAATATGTTTTGAAACCAAACAATCATAAAATTAAACAACAATATCAAGCATTGCAAAAGCAGTAAAGTAAGTAAAATAATAAAATAAAATGAATAATTGATTAAATTTAATCATTAAATTATAAATTATTATGATTATACATGAATAAAAAAAAGAAAGAAAATAATAACACAGACGGATGGTCGCTCCCTTGAAGCAACACACACAGAGGCTACTATTGAGAATCCTGAGATGCTTCATGACGGAGCCAGAGCCTCCTCAAATAAACTGAGATGAGAAAACTTATCACAATACATAAATAAAACACAAGCATTATGAAATTAAATTAATTAATGTATAAACTATATAGTTTTATAACACATTTACAAAGTAATTATTTCCACTGAAAGAGCTGTTTATGTTTTTGTCTTTCTTCACAGATTTACCCAGATCTACACTGACTGTGACTCCAAACAGTCCTGTATTCACTGGCGAGAGAGTGAGTCTGAAGTGTGTGATAAACCCTGATCACAGTAACTGGAGATATGAGTGGTATAAAGGCAGCACTAAAGTGTCTGAGCATCACACTGTAAAAGGAAACACTCTCACTATTGAACGATCTAAAACATCTGATGCGGGTCGGTACACATGTAAAGGACACATAGATGGAAGATCAGTCTCATCACAATCAAGTTCTCCTGTTTATCTCTCAGTGACGGGTGAGTTTAATATCATTGTCCTCCTAAATAATCCTATTTGACTATATTGAAAGTTTATGATACTCTTAAATTATGTAAATGTTGTACACTATGAAAATGTGTAATATGTGAATTAAAGAACATAAATGTTGACTGAATATACAAATCAGTGTTTCATTTAGTTGTTACCAATAATTGGAAACATTTTTAATAATCATCACCAACTACAAGCAAACCAGGGCCCGTATTTATCAAGCTTCTCAAAGTGTCATTTTAGTCTTAATTGCTGAGAATTCATTAAATTTACTCCTACTTTCAAACTTAAGTATAAAAGCAAGTTATCAAATGTCTTAAAGCTAAGAATCACTCTAACTCTCCCAGTTATTTAAGACAGCTCAAGAGGTCTCTCAAGTGGTTAGGAGCTGCCAGTAGGGACTTGTGATGGCGCTGATGAGAGGAAGAATGTTCTTGAAATGATTGAAGACGAGCAGAAAACGAGCAAAGAATATTTACATTGCCAAAGAACATCATAATTGACTTCAGTCTAGGCCTATTATATGCTCTTTAAAAACACTCCCGTTATAATCAGTGAATCTACCTACACTGTATGAATAAACCTCTTACCCCTAATTTACACTGCACACGTCTGCGGCGCGTTACGGCTCCAACACGGCCACCGGAGCTGATCACGGCTACTCAGCAGCCGCGCCTTGGCAAGTTTCTGAAGCAGCTCTCCGCGCTGCATAACTAAAGATAGGCGCCTATATTTTGACGGATAATAATAATAATCGTATTGCTGTCGTGAAAGAAATCAGCAACAGGCTATATCTCTGACTATCGTCGATACACGATACTATCGTCTACCGGCACAACCCTAAATTAAACGTTGTGATGCAAACTCACAAACAGGATGATCCAAGTGCAGCATTTATTATAAACAATCCAACAAACAAACAATGTAATCCAAAAACAGGGCAACCCGAATAAAGAAACACGTAACAGAAAGTGGGCTCTGTGAGCTCCTGGACTGGAGCGGGCTCTGGACTGGGTTCTGTGAACTCCCGGACTGGAGTGGACTCTGTGAGCTCCCGGACTGGAGCGGGCTCTGTTAGCTCCCGGACTGGAGCGGGCTCCGGAGTGGGCTCTGTGAGCTCCCGGACTGGAGCGGGCTCTGGAGTGGGCTCTGTGAGCTCCCGGACTGGAGCGGGCTCTGGAGTTGAGGATCCGGCCGAACAGCGACCCGGGCGGAGCCAGGAGTTTGGAAGGCAGCAAAAGGCAGAGCAGACGACCAGCTCTGCAGAGCTGACAAGGCAGATGAACCCCCTAGCGGCTCAGGCAGGACTGCAAAAAAAGAACACAGAGGTTAGTAACAGCCTTGATGGCTGTAACAGGACAGGCAGACAGCTCAGCAATGGTCTCCTTGAACGTAACAGGGCAGGCAGACAGTTCAACAACAGTCTCTTTGGCCATGACATGGCAGACTGAGAGTTCAGGAGTGGACGCCACTTCCCAGAGGGGAGCTGAAGCGGACGCAGCCACCTCGGGAGGTTCTGCAGCAGAAGCTGCCACCTTGGGAGGAGCTGGAGTAGGCTCGGGAATGGACTCCTGGACTGGAGCGAGTTCATGAGTGGACTCTGCGGGCTTCCGGACTGGAGCAGGCTCTGGAGTGGATTCTGAATGTTCCCGGACTGGAGCGGGCTCTGTGGCAGGCTCCTGGGCCAACAAAGCAGGAAGCTTAAGTTGGGCCAGCAAAGCAGAGAGCATAGTTGGGGCCGGCAGAGCAAGGAGCTTGGTTGGTGCTGGCAAGGCAAGGAGCCTGGGTGGAGCCGGCAGGGCAAGGATCATGGGAGAGACAAAAAAAAAAAAGAGTGGACTGCTCAGTAACTTCTGGGACCACCAGGGTCGGGTCCTTCAGGACCACTGGACTTGGGACCACCGGAATCGGGTCCTCCAGGACCACCGAACTTGAGACCACCAGAGTCGGGTCCTCCAGGACCACCAGAGTCGGGACCACCGGAATCAGGTCATCCAGGACCATTGTACTTGAGACCACCAGAGTCAGGTCATCAAGGACCACCGCACTCGGGTCCTCCAGGATCACCGGACTCGGATCAGACTCATAAACTTGAGCCGGCTCTGGTACAGATTTAAGGACTGGAGCGGGTTCCGGGAGAACTGGAGTGGACCTTGCTGCCCTCCTCCTTGACCCTCGCTTGCGCGACTGAGACACTGATGATTCGCTATCCACTGGAGCGGGCTCGGGCATCTCCGGGGGCACTGCAAGGGACTCAGACCGACATGACATTACCAAGTTGCGGTAACAGAGATACTCAATGAAACCCCAAAAGTCAAGAATCTTAAGCCCATCCATCTCCCGAGGAGGCACGGGGTTGTCTAAACAATCATTAAAAATCTTCTTTAAATCAGAGTCATAAAGTTCCATCCCTACCGCAAGGTTCCAAAAGGTCTGAGCGAAACCTCCAATCTCCATCCCCTGTTGGCAAAGATCCGCCAACATCCAGAGCCAAGCCTTGCGCTCCTTCGAAGCAGGAGGAATAATACGAATGTCCATGGTCCACACTCCAATAAGCCCAGCCTAGCTGCTGGATCTGTGATGGCTGGTTGATTCTGTCACGGCAAACTCACAAACAGGATGATCCAAGTGCAGCATTTATTATAAACAATCCAAAAAACAAACAATGTAATCCAAAAACAGGGCAACCCGAATAAAGAAACACGTAACAGAAAACAATCAACCAGCAAACAAGACAAAGAAAACCAGACTTATATGGAGGATGTTAATAAGGTAAATGAGACACAGCTGAATAAAATGAGACATGATTGTCAAAGCAAAGGGTGATGGGAACTGAAGCCCAGAGAAACAAAACAAAACTACAAAATGTGCCCTCTGGTGGCTAACCAGGGCACCACAACCAGACACTGTGACACATTCAATGTGAATTTATCTGAGAATATTCTTAAACAAGGGAATCTATTCGGTGATTGGTTCATGCGTTTTTCATCATCCAAAATCCCGTTTGTGGCACAGAATCATCACAAAGACTGACACTTAATATTTAGTCCTACACTTCACTTAAATTACGACTGAGATGCTTGATAACGTCTCAGGTTACTTATGTAACCATGGTTCCCTGAGTAGGGAACGAGACACTGCGTCCTCTAGGGGTCGCTATGGGAACGCCTCGTCGTGACCCGTGTCTGAAGCATACATTGAAAAAACACCAACAACACGTTGGCCGGCGACAGCCCATGACGTCACTACCGGTGTGACTATAGTATAAATAGGCGCCGGGAGAACACGTCATCCGCTTCTTTGTCTGAAGCTTGAGTCTGAAGCATGGCAGGAAACCTAGAGGACGCAGTGTCTCGTTCCCCACTCAGGGAACCATGGTTACATAAGTAACCTGAGACGTTCCCTTTCAAGGGAACTTTGAACTGCGTCCTCTAGAGGTCGCTATGGGGAACGGTATACCCACGCCACCATGCTGAGGGGAGTGCATGCCAGAACCATGGCGAACACTAAGTACCAACTCTACCATATTGCTATGGGAGTCGCCCCTGGGACGTTAGACGGCGGGAAGCAGATGGCTGCCCCTCTTTCCTCGAAAAGAGAGACAAACGATAGCAGAGCTTTTTCCTTGGAAAAACGCTCGCAGTTCACGCCGATTGCCCCCTCGGAGACATCGCGTGCATGCTCTTCGCCCAAACAAATAACGCATAGATCGTGTGTGTGTCATCAGATGTTAAACAATGACAACACGGATGCGCACATCCTCTAAACGTTCTGCTAGTGCTCGCCATAATAATAGGATAGAGATCGCTCTTACCACATTCAAATGCACGCTTCAAACAAAACAGTCAATGAAAGCGAAGAAGAGGATGATGTGTTCTCCCGGTCCCGTCGCTTATTTATACTAATAGTCGCACCGGTAGTGACGTCATGGGCTGTCGCCGGTGTTTTTTCAATGTATGCTTCAGACACGGGTCACGACGAGGCGTTCCCATAGCGACCCCTAGAGGACGCAGTTCGAAGTTCCCTTGAAAGGGAACTAACTTTTAATCGCAGCTTTGAGCCAATATTTTTTTTACACTTAAGTCAATTCTTAGCAGCGTTCTTGAGAGTAATTCTCAGAGGCTTGATAAATACTGGGCCCTGATCAGCGTGTGTCATTAGTAAGAGAGTTCAGTACAGATGAGTTTTGTCCTGAAGTCAGAGAGAATGAGGTTACAGATAATGATGTTAAATGTGTTCATGAAGTCTTCAGATAGACTGTTGAAGTTGATTGAGATTCACTTGCTCCTCATATGAGGAGCCTTCAGCTCTTCTTCAGCAGGAGCTTCATTCAGCTTTCTAACGGTTTTCTATTTGAATATATTTTAAAACGTAATTTATTCCAGTGATGCAAAGCTGAATTTTCAGCATCATTACTCCAGTCTTCAGTGTCACATGATCCTTCAGAAATCATTCTAATATGCCGATTTGCTGCTCAGGAAACATTTCTAATTATTACTAGTTAAAAACAGTACTGTTTATTATTTCACCATGTTACATCTTTTCCGAATTCTTTGATGAAAATAAAGTTCAAAAGAACAGCATTTATTTAAAACAGAAATCTTTTGTAACATAAAAAATGTATTTACTGTCACTTCTGATCAATTTAATGTTTATAATAATTTATGTTTATAATAAAAGTATTATTTCTTTAAACCCCAACTTTTGAACAGTAGTTTACATTGTGTAAACATGAATGCCTGCTCAACATTTTGCAAGCATGAATATTGAAATCTAGCTTGCGCAGTGTGTTCAGGTTATGTTTCATGTCTTAGCATCAAACCTGCAGTTATGTCAGGAAATGTGGTCTTTGTTACTCAGAGAGACATATGTATGTATACAAATACATTGAGATTGATACACAGGACAAGCGGTTCCTGGAGCAGATAAACAAATCAATAACAAACAGAGAGAAACTCTTCAAACATTACGATTATAAAGCACGATATGGCTCTAGGCAGGTGACGCATTTTGTCTCTAAATAAACGTTTTTCATCCTCAGAATTACACCCCATATGTTGTATGTGTGCACAATTAGACCTGATCATAACAAAGGCAACAGCTTTACTGTAACCAAGTCCAAACCTTTGACAGAGCTAATGTCCACCAGATGCAAGACCTGACCACAAGAACTAAGACAGAAATGAAAGTCAAAAAGTCAATATAAAAAAAAAAAATTAAAAAAAAAAATACTGTATACTTTCTTAATGCATGTTTCTGGTTTGTTGTGCTTATTAAATACACTGCAAAAAAAAATTTCTCATTCTTTTGACTTGTTTTCCATTACAAATATCCAAACATACAAATCAAGATACACTTGCTTATTTGCTAACAGATTAAATAACTGTATTGAAAAAAAAAATTCATCTTGACCAATCTGGTTTTAGTCCTGTCTGTTCTTCCATTTTTAATGTCAGACGATTAATGAATATCTTATATACCAGACTTGATTCTAAAACCAGCGTTGCAATACTTGCCTTGGATGCAGAAAAGGCGTTTGACCAAATTGAGTGGGACTATATTTTAGCGGTGATTAGAGAATTTAACATGGGTGATACATTTGCCTCTTGGGTGAGGATGTTATACGTCCATCCTAGGGCTTCGGTTCTCACTAACTTTAATAGGTCATCTCAATTCCGACTATATAGAGGCACCCGTCAGGGCTGTCCTCTTTCGCCTTTGCTTTTTGCAGTTGCAATTGAACCTCTCGCCCTTGCCATTAAAAAGAATCCTTTAATATTGCCCCCAAATATAGGCCGAATTAATCATCATATTTCTCTCTACGCAGATGATATTATTTTATATCTTCGCAACCCAGAACAGTCTATACCTCCATTACTAAATCTGTTAGAAACATTTGGTAAACTCTCTGGTTACTCACTAAACTGGCAAAAAAGTGAATTTTTGGCAGTGACTAATAATATTGACCCAATTTTTATGCTTAGTTTACCTTTTAAAATAGCCATAAATAGCTTGAAATATCTTGGAGTTAATATACCTAGAAACCCTAAGGAGATGTATAAGCTTAATTATTTAACTATATATGCTAGAAAACCTAAAGAGCAATATAAAATGCTGGCGGACCCTACCTCTATCAACGATGGGGCGTGTGAACGCTATTAAGATGGTGACATTGCCCAGATTCTTATATCTTTTTCAGAACTTACCAATATATTTGCTCTCTTAGGATATGGCGTCAGATCAGCAAGACATTTAAACTGCCAAATACCTCTTTGTTTGCTCCAATCAGTCGTAACCATGCCTTTAAACCTTCGCTTTTAGATCCAGTGTTCACAGGTTGGGCTAGAAAAGGAATTATCTCCTTGTGAGATTTATATATGGACAAAAGTTTTGCTACATTTGATCAGATCATGTTTCTGACTAGTTCACTTAAAGAGCTCCGTCTTCTTTCTTCACAGATTCACCCAGATCTACACTGACTGTGACACCAGACAGTCCTGTATTCACTGGAGAGACAGTCAATCTGACGTGTGTGATTGAGTCTTACAGTAACTGGAGATATGAGTGGTATAAAGGCACAGACAGTGTAATGTTACAGACGTCTGAGCGTTACACTGTAAACAGAGACACTCTCACTATCAGAGGAGCTACTGAGTCTGATCAGGATCAGTACTGGTGTAGAGGACAGAGAGATAAAAGACCAAAATCATCACAATCAAGCTCTGTTTCTCTCTCTGTGACGGGTGAGTTAAATATCATTGTCCTCCTAAACTCACTCTAAATGTATGAGTTACAGATCCAATTCTCAGATGTTACATTCACACTGCTTATAAATACGCTTGTCACTCTTCTTTTGAGAATTTACTTCTGTTTTATACCCTGTTTAATATTTATTTAATACTGTTTAATAATATTTTAACTTGCTAATGGGTCGTTTACACGTGTGTTCTTGTGTTCAAAACAGTTAGAGCAAAACACAATGAAACTAATTGCAGAAATCTTAACATGTATTTTACATTTGAAGTATGAGGGGTCATCTTAAAAACACAAAACTCATGGCTCTATAATCCTGATAAAAACAGAGAGACACGACAGACGACACAACAGCTAAAGGCTTCTGTCTGACAGACCTGGGCCCGTTTTCATGAAAACTCTTAGTGCAAAGTGTTGCTCCTAGTGAAAAAATTCAGAGAAAATTCTTAGATAAGTGGACGTTTCCCCTTACAATTAAACAGAAAATCCTAGTGAAGATAAAAGTTAGTTACAAAGCATCTTAACTCTTAAAAATGTTAGGAGTAGGGAGGAAGACTTTTAAGAGGCTTAAGAGTTTCTTTAGAAGAGGAGAAAATGGCTGAAAGATGAAGAGGGAGAAGAAATGTTAAGATTAAGCCCCCCTCCCCCCTCCTCATCGCTTTTAAGACGCACTCAAAGAAGAAAACACCGTGACAGGTGTCGATTTAAAAGTAGGCCTATGCACATTCCTACTTTATTTGTAAAGGAAATTCATCTCCAATCCTTCTTCTATTTCAGGTAGTTATTCGAATGCTAGAAAACAGCTGCTTTTCCGAGTAAAAACCGCCAAATAACGTAGTTACTTTATGATATAATATTTTAACTTGCTAATGGGTCGTTTACACGTGTGTTCTTGTGTTCAAAACAGTTAGAGCAAAACACAATGAAACTAATTGCAGAAATCTTAACATGTATTTTACATTTGAAGTATGAGGGGTCATCTTAAAAACACAAAACTCATGGCTCTATAATCCTGATAAAAACAGAGAGACACGACAGACGACACAACAGCTAAAGGCTTCTGTCTGACAGACCTGGGCCCGTTTTCATGAAAACTCTTAGTGCAAAGTGTTGCTCCTAGTGAAAAAATTCAGAGAAAATTCTTAGATAAGTGGACGTTTCCCCTTACAATTAAACAGAAAATCCTAGTGAAGATAAAAGTTACTCACAAAGCATCTTAACTCTTAAAAATGTTAGGAGTAGGGAGGAAGACTTTTAAGAGGCTTAAGAGTTTCTTTAGAAGAGGAGAAAATGGCTGAAAGATGAAGAGGGAGAAGAAATGTTGCAGACAATGGATGACAGTGTTAGATTATATTGTGCAGGGATCATGTTTGTGACCGATCTTATTAGAGACACAGCATATATATACAGTATATATATATATGTGTGTGTGTGTGTGTGTGTGTGTGTGTGCAGTGCTTATAGACAACCACCCAATGTAAGGTTTGTGCCACACCAAATAAAATAATTTTTTTATATATTTCTGTAATGGTTAATCCACCAGTATATGTAAGCTCTTTAGTCACATTAGTGTTTCTACTATGCACATTCCTACTTTATTTGTAAAGGAAATTCATCTCCAATCCTTCTTCTATTTCAGGTAGTTATTCGAATGCTAGAAAACAGCTGCTTTTCCGAGTAAAAACCGCCAAATAACGTAGTTACTTTATGATATATTCAGAGGGTGGGGAGATGGGGGATTCCCCCGCACTATAAGTCTCTGCATCGACTGAATGATTTATTTATTTATTTTTATTTTTTCATTCATTCATTCATTTTTATTCCCAGTAAACTCCCACCCGGGCGACACTACTCCAATAATAGACCATGCAAAATACAAAAAAATAAAATAAATAAATAAATACAATAATTAAACATAATAATAATAATAATATCTTTAAAATATTGCCAAGTAACGTTGCAAACAACAATAAAATCAGAAAATGACTTTAATTGTAAGCGACACAAGTATATGGAAAATATACAGTTATGATGTCCTTTTTTCCATATGATTTAGTCCAGTTTCGGCAATCGCGATCTTACAGCATCAGCGCATTTTTCCACTTGGGCGAGTGCTTTGCGGACAGCTTACCTCGCGCATGAAATCTCCCGCAGACCAGCAAATCACTAGGTGCGTTTACATGGAGCATTGTAATCGGTTTAAAAGTCCAATCCGAATGAAAATGCTCCATGTAAACACCTCAATCGGAATAAAAATGCCCAAACCGAATGAAATTGTAATCGGTTTGAGAGGGGTATAAACCTTTCTATAAACCAAACAAAATTAAAATTCTGCCATGTAAATGCATTAAACCGATTAGCCTACTTTGCGGCATTCTGGAATAGTGGAGGTAGAAGTTAAAATTTAAATTATACAGTTAAAAACACATTAGAATGGAGAATGCTTGCTGTGTGATAAACTGCCATATCAGCTCTCATGACCGGAGTGGAAAACGGATCTGAAATGAAGCGCAATTTTCAGCTTTTCACCTTAGAAACAACACAATGGTGACAGTAGAGCTCAATGAAAATAAACAACTTGACCAAAATTTGCCTTTGTCATTTGTATTTATTTATTACAGATTCATAATTTCCAATCTGCTTGAATTTATAAGGGCTCACGCCATGAATAATGTACGAAAACAGGCTTAAGCCCCGTTCACACCAAGAACTATAAGTATAAAGATAACTATAAAGATAACGATATTAGCGTCCACACCAGCGAACTATATCGTCTGTTTATTCTAAGCGCATATGCGTCTGCCGCTTTAAATTCTTGAGCTCGTTACAGCAGGATGGATTCTGATTGGCTGTC